TTGCATTACTCCATCCCTCAGAGCATCCTTTGGCGCACTTCTTCTCCAGGAGACAGAATACAGTGCCGCAGCACTCACTTCTCTCTCCCTGGCCCTGCTGAGCGTTGTGCTTCCTTGGGGAGCCAGGGCAGAGCTCCTCATGTTTCCTCACCCCTGTCAGGGACAGCTATTATGGAAGGGCTTTACACAGCTGTGCAAAGCAAAGCCTCAGCCCTGTGGCTCGAGGCTTTCCCATGATCTGGTCCCTGTGCTGCCAACGCTTCAGTTTGCCTGTACAGCTAAAGTCTGTGTACCCTCACAGGAGCATCTCGTGGCTTCAGGTTTTACTTGTAACATAATTCTAATTTTAAATGAAATCTATCATAAAAACATGCTATGTATTCATTTGTAGAAAGCAATACAGTCATATACTACTTCACTGTTTAACCAGAGTAGCTACACCACAAGCTGAAGGCTGCTCCTTTTCTGAATTTTGTGGAACTCATTTCTCAGATGTGATACAGCTGACTTAGCAGTGCTCAGATATATTCCGTTTTGTTGAAGAGAAGCTCCAATTGATCATAATATGTTTTACCCTAATTTTATTCTTAAGTTGTTCAAATACATCATCTTAGATTTGAGAAATATTGTGTAGACATCACAATCCTTTTTTTGCTGTTTTTTTTTTCTTTCCAATAATTTGAAAGATTTATTTGTAAAACTTGGTCCTATGAGAGAACTACGTACAGAAAGGCAATTCCATTCAAAGAAAAGAGCAAATGAGCACATACAGGTCATCTGACCTAACTCCAATTTACCATAAAACAAAGACTTCAATATCATATTATCACATCCGGACTGAACAGCGTGGTCTCAATAGCCCGAAGGATTTATAGCCTGGGGACTATTAGTCACTGTGACACATTCCTTCATAAAGAACAAAGTTGGGCAACATGGTAAAAAAAAAAAAAAAAAAAAAAAAAAAAAAAAAAACCACCACTTAATCTACCATCTTTGGACACCCGTGGAGCTAAATTAAGCAAAAGTAAGATGAGCTCGTAGCTTGAGAGTTATGCACAAGATTTCTCTGTCCCTGAGGAAAGCTAGACCAATTTGTTACAATGAACTAATGTTCTATTATTTTTGTAGTAAACTGACAGTACAGCCTTTGCAACATCAGTTGTTGACTATTCCAAACAAAACTATTATGGCTATATGAAAATAATGTTGGTTTAAATTTAAAGTAAACTCAAAATCATCTCAAAGAAGGTGTTATTCCACCAAAAAACTACCATCCTCTGTCTCCAAGTTATCCATTTCAAGAAATTACTACTGCTGCGCATCGAAAATAAATAAACAGGATAGGAGTGCTTTTCCAGATCTGATCAGTATGTCTGGTGAGTTGTAGTAATGAAAACAGCTTTTAAGCAGTATGTAAAAAATGCTTCACTTTCTGCAGAGCAGAACTTAGCAACATTCAACTCTTTGCAATAGAAAGTTGAAGGAGGGCGGAAAGTACTTCTATGAAGTATTCTATGAAGCTGGATGTTTATTATTAGGGTTCATTCATATTTTGCTAATTTTGCTGTCAAATGTTGGCACTGAATACTTAATAATTGGGGCTGGAAAAGAGACGGGATATTTTGCCAAGAAATAGTGTATTGCACTGAGTTTTGTCCAGAATTTACATCTACGAAAACAAAAAGCTCTTTACATAGAGCTTGATCATCTTTTTCAAAAATAGAAATACCCACTTCTTCACTAGGAAACAAATAGTTGTTTCAAGATTCAGCTATGGCTGCATTTGTTCACTTGGCCCATTGTGCAGTGAATTTACATTTCAAGAAAAGGAAGTTTCCTATTTCATAGTAAAAGTTACAAGAATAATGAAAGGTTAACTTTGTTTTTCAGTCCTTGCTGTCTTCCTGCAAAGAAGACAGACATCTCCAAGCCACTTACTAAAGCACTTTCCCTCTCTTGTGGCTGTAAGTTGAGAACTACCACTCTCTGGAATTGGAGAACTCATTGGAATTCTAGACTGCTTTTGCCTTACAGTGTTGCAATTTTTTGCCTGACTTGATTAAGCTACTTTAAAGTTACAAAAGTTGGATCAGAGGAGTTTCAGGTTGGGTATTAAGAAAAATTTCTACCAGAAGAGTGAAAGAGCATTGGAACAGGCTTCCCATGGGAGCGGTGGAGTCACCATTCCTAGAAGTTTTCAAGAAAGCTGTATGTGTCTCATCTAGTGGTGGCGAGTTGATGTTTGGACTACACGATCTTAGTGGTCTTTTCCAGCCTTAATGGCTCTATGATTCTATAAAGTCAACTTCATTAGGTCAGTGCTCTCACAGCTTTGAGGTTTTATTTAGCCTGGGAATACAGCTTACCTGTGTGAACTACATGGCTAAAGAATGTCACTGAATGCTACCGCTTTGCAGAAGCCAATTAGGTATGAAGAAAGGATTTTTCAGCAAGTGTTTATTCACTCTTATTTTTAAACAACATACAAGTTAATTTGTAGATATTGAGAAATATTCGACTTAATGATAGCTATTCAGAGGATGAAAAGAAAACTGCTGTTTTTCATTGTATCCTCATAAGTAATTTGACCTACTGAGATGAGATGCAGATACCTGATCCTAATTAGGCTATGCAGATTTTAAAAACTCAACCAGCATATTCATTACCACATAGTGCATACGTTAGCTCTCTTACAGAGCTACACTTATAGACTATGCTGTGCACACAGGACTTGTCTCTTTCCCAAATAAGTTAGATACACATATAAATATAGCTATATGGTAGCACTCTCATATATGCACCCATTCATGTCATGAAAAAGACCTAGTCTTCCAAATCTTGAGACTGTCCTTCCACCCTGGTTTCAGTGAGCACTGAAGCATCTAATACTAACATATTGTTAATGCCACTGATTTCTGAATGAATGCTCTCTGTGACATATGAGATAGCTCATGTTTAAGAGCTCAGTTCAACTCCTTTTCATACTTAAGCAAATATCTATTATGCTCCAGTCTTTATGCCTTGG